ACTATTCTTAATATTAATAAATATTTATTATTTATTAATAGTCAGTTAAATAGCCAATAATTTATTTAAACTGATCGTCAGTCTTTTTTTTTGTATGTTCTTTTTATCAGTCACTGGAAAGATGGTATGATTTTTTCCTTTTCTCCCCTGTTAATGGTTCTATACTTCTTATATAATGGCATTATTATTGTTGTTAAATATTTTCAGAAGGAAACAACTTCTTGAAATATATTACTGGTTTTGATGAAATGTCCTTTGCATTCAAAGGCAAACACACAATATTGTTGTATTGTTTTGGTTTATATTCTTTCAGCAAGGTAAGGCTTCATTACAATGTGTATTTAAAAAGGCACATTTATCTTATGCTGGACATAATTTTTATATTGCCATTTCTTCATATTCCCTTGTTATATTATCTTCTGTTGTCTTTCTAACCAAAGAGACAGATACTGCTGTCCTATGAATTGTCAGTGGACTCTATTAATGATCCTTTTCGAAGACAGAGGTTAATGAGTGCAGCCACTGTTATTACAGATAATTTGCGTAAGTCATTCTTTAGTGTTTTTCCTATGGTGATTGCATAATTTGACCTAAGAGAACAAAATGTCACAAACAGTCAGCATTATTTTAAAAGTCACTAGGGGAAATTATGCTGCAATCAAATGTAAATTTCAGTAAAATTAATATTCTCGTATCTTGCATAACTGCAACCGTAACTTGCAATAGCCAAGGGTAAATCATGCCTGACCAACTTGATTGCCCTATACAATAAAATGACTGGGGTTTGTGGATGAGAGGAGAGCAGTGTTTGCATTTACCTTGACTTTAGCAAGGCTTTCAACACTGTCGCCTACAGTGTTTTTTCATCCAAGTTAGGGTGTTAGGGTCTGCATCAGTGGACAACAAGCTGGACAAAAAAAAAAAAAAAAATTGGATGATTGGGCTTCAAGTTTATGTTGAACAGGTTGTATTCTACCTGAAGGCAGGTAACAAGTGGAGGACCACAGGGTGTATCCTAGGACACATCTTAAGTGACCTAGAGGAGGCAACAGAGGGCTTGCTCTTAAATTTTGCAGATGACACCAAATTGGGGGGGAACGACTTGATACACTGGAGGTAAGAGCTGCCATCTAGAGGGACTTAGGGTGGAGGAATGGGCCAACGGGAACCTTATGAAAATTCAACCAGAACAAATGTAAACTTCTGCATATCTGCAAGTATCTCTTGCAACCATACAGGCTGGGAGCTGGCTGGCTGGGAAGCAGCTCTGAAGGGAAGGCCCTGTGGGTCCTTGTGGGCAGCAAGCTGAGCATGAGCTAGCAACATGCCCTTGCAGCAGCAATCGCTAACAGTATCCTGGACTATATTAAAAGGAGCATAGTCAGGAGAAAAGTGATTATCACCCTTTATTAAACACTTGCTAGACCACATACTGTGCCCAGTTTGCCCCCCAGCCCCCCAGTACAAGAAATACATGGAGGTCAGCAGAGGGCCACCAAGTCAGGGGCTGGTTCAGCCTGGAGGGAACATTTTGAGGAGAAGTTAATATCAGCCTTCCAGTGTGTAGGAAGGCATTATCAAGAAGATGGAGTCGGGCTCTTCACAGTGGTGCACAGTGGGAAGATGAGACAAGAGATGTAAATCGAAAGAAGAGAGCTTCAAACTGTGTGTAAGGAGAAGCTTTCACCGGAGGGACAGACAGAGGAACAGGTTATGCAGTCTCTGACCTCATGGCTGACCATGCTTTGAGAAGGGGGTTGCACTAGAGATCTGCTGAGGTCCCTTCCAACTGGATTTATCTTATAACCCTATCCTCAACTATGGACACCAAGATATGGGGGACGCCCTTCTTCATTTTATCTTGGACTTTTTTTCAACCCATGCTGCATCTGTGACTGTACCGATGCAACTCACAGAAAACAAGTTTCAGTTTTTCCAGAGACAGTTAAATTATTTCTCCTTAATGCAGATCCTTTATCGTCCTTCTATAGGATAATAAACATATGAAGAGGTGGGTAATATCACCTGTTTCTGCAATTATGAGATTTGTTGATGGTGACCTTTAAATAGCTTGTAATTAGTTTGTGTAGAATGAGTGAAACAGTGGTTTTCAATGATGCCATTCTGCTCACATGAGATTGATTTTTCTTTTCAATCTTTTCTGTGACTGTCCTTTTCTTCATACTATGAGATTCCACATAAGATTATTTGTATGACACTTTCCCTCTTTGTCATTTAGAACTGCAAGAGTCAAAACTGAAATGCCCTTCATTATGTAAACGTTTTGCTCAAAAGTATCTGATTTGGAATTGTTGTCCATTCTGGAAAGTAGTCAAAGAGAAGGTGAAACTGGTAATTTTGGATCCATTTGCTGATCTCTTAATCATGGTTTGCATTATTGTGAATACCTTATTCATGGCTCTGGAGTACCCTCATATGCCACGCCATTACCAACAAATGATTTTTGTAAGTGACAAGGTAAGTTAGGTCTGTGTTAGAGTGAATATGGAGTTATAACCCCATATTTATACTGGGACAGTCCCATAAAGAGACATATTTTTTCAGTGACTTTTTGATGAATTTCTTTTTCCTCTTTCCAGGTGTTCACCCTGATTTTTACAGCAGAAATGATCTTGAAAATCATCGCTCTAGATCCTTACAACTATTTTCAGCAAAAATGGAATATTTTTGATAGTATAGTTGTTATGATTGGCCTAATAAGCTTTAAAGAAAATCTGTCATTTTTCAGGCTGGTAATTATTTCTTTATTCTTTTTAAAAAGTACGTGTGTTATATAGATTTGTAAAAGATTACAGTGAAATACCATCAGATTATTTTACTGATGAATCTGTTAAAACAGTTCTCTTTGTTAGTACATAGAAGGCAACATGAATGTTTAATTAGAGTGAATATTAAATGAATATTAAAGAATACATTCAATATGTTTATTATACTGTGTATATTAGATACTACAAATCCTCTGGCACTGTGTGCCCCCTTGGAGGTTTGACCTAGCAGAGAGTTCGCTGGTTCCCTGTTAGGTCTGTACAGTGTCACTGCTCAACTACATTTCAGATCTTCAATTAGGAAATGATATTATCTGAGTGTTTTCATGAGCTTAAGGATAGCAAAGGTTCATTCACAGCTTTTCCTTTTGAGTTGAGATTTGAAAAATAATGTAGCCTTCCTCAAGGCTTAGACTTGACCTTGAGGTCTCCTCAAGGCTTTCCCCCATCTTAGGGAAAAGGAGGAGCACCTCTGAGATGTCTATGTATAATGTTATTTTTTTGCTTACATCCTTACTGTGTATTTAGAATGCTAAATTTGCTAATTACTTCTAACATTCTTCATAGCTTTTCTGAATCATCACACCTAGAAATTCAGTTGAATTCTGTTTCATCTTGTATATCATGACTGAGCAAATTTAACACCTCTGAATGCTAATTTGACTAAAAATGTCCTTTTTACTCATGAGGGTGCATAGAATACATCCCATCTGGCTTTTCAGATGCTGTTTTAAGTCTGTTAGGCGAGAGGTAGAAAAAATTTTTTTTTCAATTTTTGTTTGATTACATTTGATTTAGTCCAAAATGCAGTCACTTCATAAGCGTCATCCACGTACTTATAAGCCACTTGATTAGTATTACTATTACTGTTATTGCTATTATTACTAATCGACTTACACGTGCTTGTATCTAACTTAGCACAAACAATTTGAAAGCTTCTTTTGGCAGTTCTGTGTTCTCAGTAATATCAACCATCTGAGCTTAAGCACAGCACTTTTGGATCAGGACAATTAAAAACCTTTCTTTGGGGGAAAAATGATGATGGTGTTACTGAAGTAAAGACAGCATGATAAATGCAGGGTCTGTTTTTTATGTGTGTTCGCCACTCACATTGTTCTCTTGTGTTTTACTTACAGCTCAGGATCTTCAAATTGGCAAAATCCTGGCCAGCCTTAAATACTCTTATGAAAATAATTCTAAATTCAGTTGGTGCTCTGGGTAACCTCACTCTGGTTTTGATTATCACTGTATTTATTTTTGCTGTAGTAGGAAAGCAGGTTTTGGGCAATTATTATGAGAATAATTACTATAAAATAAGCACCAATGTGAATTTACGCTGGCATATGAAGGATTTTTGTCATTCATTCCTGATTATATTCCGAATACTATGTGGAGAATGGATTGAAACCATGTGGGAATGTATGGAAGTGGCTGGAAAAGGGCTATGTCTTCCCATTTTCTTGCTAGTCCTGGTGATAGGAAACCTGGTGGTGAGTTTCAAGCTATTTTTCCGTCCCTACTGAATGCGTCCACTTACACCGGCATCTTTTTTTCCAAGGCAAACTTATCATTTGAAGAGTGTTCACACTATTCTCTTTTCTGGATGTTACTTAATGTATGTTTTTCTTCTGTCTTTTTTGCCTTTTCCCCATCTTTGTCTTTCTCACACAAGAGGTAGCTGCTAAGCAAAATATACAAAATTGTTCCTTCTACCCAGAGTATAGAAGTGCAGTGCTTTTGGTAATTTGGTGTCTGATATCTTCATCTTTGGTGTTGCTAGGATCAAATAACCAATCTGTTCAGTGCTTTTAATGCTTACCAACTTATCCTTATATTATCAAAAATTTACAGTACCCAGATTTTCTGGTTCGTGTGACATATACTAGATCTAATGTATATATAATGGAAGATTAAATCTTTTTCATCTGCTTGGTTTGTTGGTCTATACCAGATTCTTTTTGATGGTGGTGGTATTAAAATTTATCTTTGCCTGATGTTTTTCAACGTATCTACCTCCTCGTACATCATGAACATCAGAGCATGTGAAAATATATTTGATATACCTATACCCTCTCTTCCTTCCTTTTTCTCCTGACTTTCCTTCCAGAAGGAGCCATATCATACTATATTAATATTCCAGTATAATAGTAAATAATTTCATTGCAGTGGTTGATGAAAGCAAGTTTGAGATTTTTTTATCTAAGGAGGATTTTCTGAAATGTCTTTCCTGTTAACAGTAGTGTCTCCAACTTACTTTAACTATTTTAAGGTGCTCAACCTATTCATTGCCTTGCTGCTGAGTTCGTTCAGTACTGACTCCTCAAAGGGACAAGAGGAAAATGGACAAATGACTAAATGTCAGATTGCCATTGCACGGATTTGCAAGAGCCTGCAGTCTGTAAAAGACAGAATGTTGGATCATTGTAGCAAAATAATGAAACAAAGCCTCAAAACAACAGCCAAAAAGAAGACTTTGGTGCAAATTTCTGCCAAAGACATAGAGCAAAATAACTATGCCATGACAGATGTCAGAAAGGATATAGACAACAATTGCTTTGGCATTTGGTATTACAATACTGAAGAGAGTTCCCCCATAACAAGGAAATATGAAGAATTTTTAACAAGTCATAGTACCTGTGTTCCCATTGCAGTAGCAGAGACTTATACCAATGAAGGTGATGATGAGCACAGTGTATGCACAGAAATAGAATACAGAAAGCAGGTAAGGAATATTGATATTTGAAAAATTATTGTAACTTGCATCTGTAAATGTAATCTTGAAGACTCTGCAATAAATCTTATCCCTTCTGTCATCTCTGCCATTTTACTTTCTTTGTTCTTCTAGTAGCTTCAAAATGCAAGAGCTGCCAAATAGTCTTATTCAGTAAGATGCTGAATATCCACTTTTTCATCATTCTCCTCACTGATAGCCATAATCCTGCTTCTGTCTGTTTTGTTTCCATTTATTGCTGTCAATTGCTAAATGAAGTTTGATCAAGCCAGATATTCTTTCTTTTTGTCTCCTTTGCCTTACAGATGGCACCTGGAATTTTTAGAAGGCAGACCTCTTGTGCTGCTTATATGTTGCCTCTTGGCTGCATGGAATCCAAAGGGATTACAAATAAAAGCTTCACCTTAGAAAAATAATTTCTTATGTTTTTTTAATCCTCTATTCACCTCTGATACTTTGGACTCCCCTTTATAACTCTTGATTTTGTTGTGTTGGACAGGATTGAGCTCAAGGCTTTCTGCATGTGAGGCGTTTATTCTGCTATGATAGTCAATAATGGTGCTATTCATTTGCCTGTACATAGGCATTTAGGGATATTTGAGATACTTCAGGTGTCTTTCACATCCACATGGGACTGACAAATAAGACACAGGAGCTATAGGAACTGTTTTTGGCATCTGGAGGCCAGGGGTATGTAGAAAGACCTCAGATGACACTAGGTATCAGGCACAATTAGGTTGCTCCATTTAGATATCTGAATCTCAAGATTCCACATACTGCTCACCTCATAGATGTCAAGTGCCATTTGAGGTGCTGGATTATCTCATACGGCTTCTAAATGCACCTCCGAAAAGGTGTCTGTCAGTTCCTGTAGATCTGTGCTGTATTTAACTATGCCACGTGTATGTCTTAGGTACCCCTAGGTATCTTAAAAGACGCTAAGCAATTCAGGGCAAGCAACTGAATTAAACCTTTTGTGTCCTCGCTGCATTTAGTACTGTCCCTTCCTGCCTGTCCATATTACTTGCATGTTGCCCACTTTCGCGCTTCTTTTTTTCTCCCATTTTGCTTTCTTGATTTCTTTTTCCTTTTTTTTTTGCTTTGTTTTCTTCTCTCTAATGATGTGTTATACCTTTAATAAAATGGAATTTTACTCCATTACTTCCCTTTGAGAAGGGTGATGTGTCTTAATGAAATTCTGTTTGTGACGGCATCATTACTTTTATTATAGGTGATGTGATTGCTTAGAAAGGATATGAATGCTGGTTTGAGTATGACGAGCTATCTGCATGAATGCATTTTAGTTCAGAATCATTGGGTCATCCTCTGAGATTCTTATTTCCATATAAATATTTTTGCCTCTAGAAGGTAAGGGTGATACCTTCTAGCCCATTGACAGTACTGCAGCTGTGTATGGAACAGCCAGTAGTAGTTTCAGCTCAGCTCAGTGCACAACAACCTCAAGTTAATTTCTTTTAGAAGCCTGCCTTATTCACAGGCAGTAGTAATAAGAAGCAGCAGACTCCGATATACCTTCCCTGCAATCTTTTGTCAGAAGGTGAACAAAAAGAATATTAACCCTTCTCAGACCAGTACTAAAGGAAGTACCAATAGAAGCTGGCTTATACAACAAAAAAATGAGCTGGTTTGCAGGTTCTTCACATAAAACAAGATAGACAGCCTCTTACAGAAAGTAGCTTATGATTTTCATTTAAGTATTTTTATTAATTTCTGCTTATTTCTCCTGCTACTACACTCAAGTAGGAATGAGCTTTTCTAAGATGTTGCAACTGTGCTTTTTTTCTTCATAGGTAAAAGTGATGGTGTAAATGTGTGACAGTATGGGGTTTAGTTCATCTAAAAAACACATCCAAATGTGTGAGCAGCAAGCTCAGGTGGAACAGCAGGCTTTGATGACTCTACTGTACCTAGATTAGCTTGTTAAAGATTATGTTTTGTGAGTGTCAGTTATGTTATGATTGTGATATCACCATATTTTAAATCTGTCAGAACGGTTATTTGGGCTCAAAGTGCAGTTCCCTAGTATGCTGTGGCAGAAATGTCAAAAGCAGGTGCTATCTTTGGATGGATTATCATATGGTCGGTGTCTAGGTGTACTGGTAGAATCCATTTTCTATGGTTTTGGTCATAAGAGGAGGCATCATCAGTGGAATATCTTTGGACAAGTTCTCAAAGAAGCAGAAGTCGCTGATCACCTTAGAATCATCTGTGGCTGTTTGAAATATGTTGTCCATAAACATTTGATGACAGAAATTCTTTCCCTGCTGCATTGGAATCTGGTATTGCTTGGAATTTGTAGTGGCAAAAGGACTGAGAGCTGACTAGGATCACTGAGCTCTTCTGCCTGTAACTAGAAACATGGCACTGTTGGGGTCCAGCTGCAAAGGCTGCTACTGAGCCAGTTCATCAGAAATCAGTGAATTGGATGCAGGAATCCATCAGCGGGTTAAATGTAGATCTTGAGGAATGATACATTTCCACAGTATAACCACAGGAGCACAGTATTTGAAATCGAGGAAGAAACAATTTTTTACATGCCTTTTAGCGATATCATTTAATTATCTGTAAAAAGACAAACATGCTAAATTTGGTGGATGCTTTGGATTCTGTTAAAGAATTTTGACTTTTAAGAATGACTGTTAGGAAGAAAAATGTGGAAAATTAACTGTTTTGCATTAATTCACACAGGGAGACAGAATAAGACATAGAGAGCAGTGTCGGAGTTCAAGCGGCTTCAGTCAGATTTCTGGGACTTCTGAAAGCATAAGTGGGTTTTCAGAGGCCCACCAAAAGAAAGAGCAAAAAGAGGTAATTATAAATTTTATCATCTTGTGGAATATTAGAGATGAAAATTGTTGCAGCGGTTCTCATTCAGCAATGACAGGACAAGCTGGGGTTTTCTGAAGAGTAGCAAGTATAATCCCTGTGAAGTTGGTACATCTCTCTAGAGGTTATAATAGTTTAAAGCATGGAGGTTTGCCCCTCATAAGCAACCATGGCTAACAGTGTAACTTAATATATTATTTTGTACAAAATATGTAAACTGAAATTAACCAAGAAACACACTTATTTTCAACATGCTTGATACATGCTATTTATTTTTATAGATAATTCTGTTTGCTGTCATCCTTGGATGCAAAAATTAGTTCTCTAGAAGCGGTTCCCAAAACAACCACTTTTTCTGGTCTAGAAACTTAGCTTATTCTAATACAGTACAGTTCCACATCAAAAAAGGTGAAGAATTATGGCTTGCCTCCAATGACCCAGAAAATTAAATGGAAGTTCAGCAACTTTCTGGATTACTACCTCCAAAAGTTAAACCACTTTAGCATTTCCTGGTTTTAGACAGGTTGCCAGAAGTTTTGTTTGTTATACATTATTTAATTATATTTATATAAAAAATGCTCATGAATTTAAATAATTGCATTTTTGTCTATGTTAGAGATTCCCTAGGACCTTAAGTTAGTGTAGAGCAGCATGGCTGTCAACGTAGGCAGTTCTCCCTTCTGGCTTCTCATTCTTATCCCTGTCCTCATGCGTTCCCTTTCCATGTCATACAGGGCACTTACACTTCATGGCTGATAGATTGCTTTATTCCTTTTTCTTTATACTTGTTTTCCTTATTGTTTTTAGTTTTATAGGTTTGTAGGTTACCTACCAATAACTACAATTCTTTGAGCTGCGTAGACCATATGTACCTTTCTTTCCTGCTAGGCCTTCCTGTCTTAGCCTTTTGAGACATGGTTTGTGTCTCTGAAAATGAAAAGAGAATTGGATTGGCATGAAGAAATCAGAGTTTTGTCTAAAGTAAATCTATAGAATAATACAATCTTTTCTAAACATTTTCCTTCCTGCAAGTCCAATGTAGACGACTAGAAGAAATGAAGAAACTTATTAAATTAAAGCCATGGAAACAAAGAGCAGGGATTATTAGCCTTTTCTGTCCTATTATTTGTAATTTTATTTTGGTAGTTCAGCAACATTAAGATAATTTATACGCTGAAGATTTTTTTTGGGGGGGGTAACCTTACTAATGAAAAGCAAGTAAATTCTCTTCTTTGCCCTTCTCCTGTGCAGAAATGTGATGCTGGTAGCTATTCTGAAGCCAGCACTGTGGATCCGGTTATTCTTCAGGAGATGTTTCCCCAGCCTAAAAAGTCACACCTACCTAAGGACTGTTTTGGAGAAAGTAAGAATCTTTTATGTATTGCAGTGACACCAAATGAACCAGTATTCAAAGATATCTGTTTGGAACATTTCCAAATTGGCAGAAACTGTTTGCCTGAGACACTTGTTTATAAACATAAGAACTCAAATAAATATACCTGAAGCCAGCACTGAACTGGAGCAGGGTTAGGATGCCTGAATACAGGCATTTAGTACCATATGAGATGGCTGAGAGTATGCAAGACAACTGCATGAAGCTGACAGAACTGTCACAGAAGCTCTAGAATATCTGAAGAGGCCTAAAATGGTTCTGAACACCTGTGTGTAGGTAGCAAAATGCCATCTTTCAAGTGCAATTCAGTCTTATATTGAGGCGTCAGACTGTAGGTACCTGTATATGAGCAAAGGCACTCAGAGCACTTCTGAAGGGGCAGCTGGTCCTGTTAGGGCAGTTAGGGTATGTATGCCCGTACCTGGTATCTTAAATGGCACCTCAGCTGAATTTGTCTGAGCTCCCAGTACAGTGGATGAATACAGCTAATGGAATTGAGAGGACTGCACAGCTCACCCCAGTGTCAACACCTACCTTTGATTGTCCTGAATGGCTCCTTAGACTCCATTGACCCTCATGGCTTAATCCTACTGCCTTTACAGATTAATGAAGAAGTGTGTTTTCTGGTGCAAAACAGTGAACAGAGAACCTGGTTGTAATGTCTCTGCGGTGCAATCAAGTGAAATGCTCCGTAAAAATAACAATTTACTAAACTACTAGTAAGGTAATATCAATTTTCAAAACAAAGAATAAATGCAGAAAATAAAATAAGTAAGTTTTTTAGATAGAAGTAATGGCTTTTTTGTGTCCACTTGGGCTTGTGGGCACAAAAGCTTTTCTGCTTTTTCCATGTATGAGTTGCTCTATTAAAAGAGATTATTTTGACCTACACATTTTGTCTTTTCTTTAGCTTTAGATTGTTGCAGCCACAGCATCACCCCATAGGTAAAACAGCGCATTCTTTGTAGAGTCTGCAGAAGGTCATTTTAAGATGTCTTACACTTTTTAGATTCCATGTCTTCACATTTTTGATGTAACCAATATGCTGTTTTCTCTTTTCAGATTGTGTTGAATGTTTCCCGTGTTGTATAGTGGATATCAATAAGTTTCCAGGCAGGACTTGGTGGAAATTTAGAAAAACCTGCTACAGAATTGTTAAACATAGCTGGTTTGAAAATTTTATAATTTTTATGATAATATTGAGCAGCGCAGCACTGGTAAATTTAATTTAATTTCTCAAATTTTGAATTGATGATTGTCAGTAAAGGAAAAGAATCATATTATTATATTTAATTTATTTCTAATACTCTTGCATTCGTTTCACCAGGGAGAGACAAGAGTATAATAAACTTATCCCTTAGAAGAAGGCTCTCCCCGACTTGGATAAGATATTTAAATATATGGAATCATAGCCTTCTTCAAAGTTCTTCATGGAACATAGTTCTTGACGCACTTATGTGCTTAATTAGGAGGCTAAACCAGGGTCTGAAACTACTTAGCTTAAAAAAAATAAAAGTACTTCTAAATTTGTAAAGCAGACTAACTGCTCAGTAAAAATTTAGATTTAAAATCATCCAAACATTAAGATGATCAGAATGTAAAAGTGAAGATGGCTGTAAACTGGTAGGTGATTTAATGTGTCTTTGCTACTCTGACTATATCCATTTCTACTGAAGGATAAGGGAAGTTTTATGTGATTTGAAAACCTATTCACTAAGTCTACTGAAAGTAATTTGTTAAAAAAAACTTTATGTAGTGCAGAAGGAACATAACCAACTAGTGTGAAAGTGATCTGTATGGTAGGTGTCAGAGTTTTCCAAATAAAATCTGTTCGGTGTGCATTAAGTTTAGATTGTCCACTAAACTGTAGATTTGAACTGTCTGCTTTAAAATTTCCGTGGCAAAATCTCCAAGGGAACTCCCTGGGGTTCCCATGAGGGCTCCTCTGTCTTCATGTGGAACCAAACTGAAGTAAGGAAGGAAACCAAGTCATTATTTAATGTACTGTAGGATCTGGCTAAGTTGAACACAGAATTAGTTGGTATCCAGATGCAAAATAAAACAACGACGATTTATTTTCATCAAAGATGTATTGTGGTGTTGAGAACTTTCACATTGCTAAGATACTGTTGTCCTCTTGCAAGAAGGGACTTGTCCATTTTCTGTTTGTTTATCAAGTTGTTTGATGATATCGAATTTCCTGATTTAGCTAGAATGAAGGGATACCATGCCATCAGGCATGTCTATGGCTTGAAAGTAAATTAAATCAGATGGTGATCATAGAAGGTATCCATAGAAAAGTATGTGGTGTGTGCTCAGTGCTCAGAGCAAAGGAAGAGTTAGAAGTTTGAAAGAGCATCACTACTAATGAATGGGTGAGTTGACTAATAGGTGGAAATCAAGGTAGCCAAGGTTAAACACTGAAAAAGACAATGCTAATTATTGAACTTGCTCAGAAAAAAAGGTAGGAAATGGTAAATAGGTTTAAGTACATGAATGCCAGGAGTTCTCAATTACCCACAGTCGAATTACTATTCCTGTGGACACAGTGACAGCTCTGCTCTCTAGACATTTCTCCTAATTGTAGCGCAATTGAATGACCACTGCTTCAAAGACCACTTAGCTCCAGAAGCAGTATTACTGTTTTCTTACTCTGCAGAGCAGGAGTGCGTAAGTTTTACCAGATTGTTGGTAACTATACATAGGAGCATCTCTGCCCCCTGTTTTTTCAGTGGGAATATAAAACGGAAAAAACAGCGATGATTTTACATGAGTTTACTGTTTCAGGTCTCACTTGATCTAAACACTTGGTTATGCTCCTGCTCCCCCGTATCGGTGGCCTTTTAGACTGGGTTTAGCATGTGATAAATACAGGGGAGCAAATCAGGTCTGCTACAATAACTAAATAATAATCTTCTCTGAGAGCACTGGAGACACATAGCAGAGGCACTCAGGTGTTTCTGCAAGAAACATTTAATGGTTTAGTGTGACTGGTGATAACTTGTAACTGTTAAGGCCTGCTGTAGCTGAGCTAATCCTTGCAAAACCATTGGGGTGTCTTTGCTACCATGCTCCCTTGAAACAAAGGTCTGTGGACCATCTGGGTCAGTCTCCCTTGTAACACAGCCTGCTATTTCCTTAAAGGGTGTTGACCGTTAATGAACTTACTAAAAAATAACAGCAGAATAAGAGATTTCACAGTCAGGTAAGGAGCTGTTAAGTGAAGACCTGATGTAGATTGAAACTGGATATGGATTAAAGTTTTGACACCCTCCATTTGGTTCCTGACCTTTGTCACAGTCTACAGCCGTGTGACTTTGGGCAAATGAATTATCTCTCTACTCTTCATTTGCTCTTCTGTAAAATAAAGATGTTGTGTTCCAACATCCCAAGGATGTGAGATGGTGTAGTCCTCTTGAGAGGACAGACTCTTAAACTTCTCATTTCAACTTTTTTACTCCTCTCATTGCAAGAAATAAGACAGAAAGCAGCTGCAGAGGCAATGTCAGAGAAGGGGACACAGATTGGAATTAGGGTAAGAGAAAGGGAGGTTGTTAAATGCCCTGATGTGCTCTAATGACACACCGAGCTCTTGAGACGGAGTGTGAAAGAGAAGGAGACTAGAGGAGACTGAGTAATTTATATCTAGGAATCGTAGGGTGTGAGAAAGGATGTGAGAAAGGGTGGCTTCTGATATATCTACATAAGTAAGAAAAACATTAAGTAAAAGTAATGACATATATGTATTTGTAAGGAGGAAATAGTGGTGGTGAAAATGGAGGGATAGTTCACTAGAAATGTTGGCAGCAAAAGAGAAATGAAGTGGAGATGGAGCTATAAGGTAGGGGAGAAATGGATGAAAGGAAAAATAAAGACATTGCCAGAGGCTTGGTGGGGAAATAATGCAAGGTGTTAAAAGGAATTGGGAATAGATTGGCACTATCAAAAACATAACATAAATTAGCAAGGCAGCAAATACATTAAACACAAATGAACAATGATGTAAGCTGCAGCAATCAATAAAACATTTTCCTAAATCCTTACTGACGTCGAATTAATGTCAAAGTTTAGGTAAAAAAATACAAAACTCCAGGAATGAGCACTTCCAGATAAGTTGTTTGTCATATTTTTTCATATCTGTATTACAACTCTGCAAGCTGACTCAAGATGATTCCTTTGGAAGGTCTAGGTCTGAAAGAGTGGTTGGTTTGTTTAATTCAAGCTTTATTATGACGAATTCTAGACCAACACCTTCAAAATTATCCACTAACTTGTGAAGCCAAGATTTTTGGTAGCCACAATTGACGCTCATCAGATATTTTTTGAAGAAGTGCTGAGCGTAAACAATTGAAAGTATGTGATTTCTCAACCAACCTGAAAATGAGTTTGTACTTGATTTTACAATTTAGGTTTTTACTTCTAAGTATAAAACTAAGTGGTGGTTCCCTATAATTTAATATAAAATGGTTGATAATCTGAAATGGTTATAGTATGCCAAACTGTGTATTCTTGTGCAATTTTAAAATAATTTTCCATAAAACTACTGAACTGTTTTAAAACTGAATTCTGAAATTGCAGGCATTTGAAGATATTCACCTGCAGGAGAGAAAAAAAGTGAAAATGCTCCTAGAGTATGCTGATAAAATATTTACCTACATCTTCTTTATGGAGATGCTTCTGAAATGGGTAGCTTATGGTTTGCACAGTTATTTCACAAATGCCTGGTGTTGGCTTGACTTCATCATCGTATGTGTAAGTATTATATTCAGCTAGTCTTACATTTTAAATTTTGATAATTTCTATATAGAGGACTACATGTAAAATCTGATTCTGAATAAATACAAGTGTAAAAGACAGTTTCCAAAAGCTGAAAAAAATTGCAATCAAAAGAGACTTTAGGACAAGTTTCAATTGAAATTGTAAGTAATAATCAGAAGTTGCTTAAGAAAATTTTTTTAGGTGTCACTGTCATTGAGGACCATGTTGCTTATAAAAACCTTTTTGGGTGCAGAGAGAGTGCAATCAGCGATCAGAAATAAAAGTAAAATAAATTAAGATTATAGAAAAATGTGAAGCTGCTGGCATCTCTGGCATTTAGAAACAGAAAAAAGTAGAGTTGCTTCCTTAAAGGAGAAGAAATTTAGATCATACAGGGTGTTGAAAAGTATTGTTGGAAAAATCATTTACCAGAGAGTTAAAGATGTAGGAAAGTATGTTTTGCTTTGCAACCAAAGAAATCCTAGCAATCCTTTTATATAGCTATAAAAAGAAATGCTGAAATCATCAGTAGTGAGATGGAAGAAGTGCAGTGTTCAATATATACATATTAATTCTGAATTCAGACAAAGTTAAATAATATAATCTTGCCATATAAAAATGAAATATTTTTGTTTGTCAGCAGTACACTGGGAAGATACTGAAGTTAAATATTTTAAAATAAGGGCATCTAAACAGCTGACTTCCATTAATGTCAAAGTAGCTGTTTGATAGCCTCTGAATAGTTAGCATTGCAAGTTGTGAAATACTAGGAAATTTCAACAGAAAAATCTAATATTATGACTATTTACAAAGAATATATAGCATGACTTTAGCAATTACAGTTCTGTAATATTAATAGCAGTGCTGTCCAAAACAGAGAAAAAGCATGAAAATATCCAATGGTTGGGCAATGAGACAACAAATTCAAGAGGCAAATCATGAACAGTGAAAAAAAACCCCTAATTATTGAAATAATTTTCTAATGTTTTCAGTTCATTTTCTCTCTTATGAAAATTTAAAATGAAGACTGGATATCTTCTTAAAAATAATTTTTGTTTCCACATCACTGTCTTAAGTCATGATAAGGAGTTACTGTATACACTTCTGAGAATAACTATGCAGAAAATGGGAATATTTTATTTGAATAATCCTTTCTGGTCTTGTAGTGTATGAAATCACCATAGTTACCAATTTGGTTGTTATACTAGCATTCAAAAAAATTTATATCCACTGTTTTTGAAAACAAAAGGAAAAAAAAAGAAAAAAGTTTCAAATTAGAATGAAATAATTCCATTAGTTTTAAAATATTAGGAAAGAATGAAGTAAAATTAGATTATGATAACTTTGAATGTGTATTTTTTTCATTTGACTTACTGGTCAAAGATACTGTAACATTCAGCTTATGATTGTCTATTGACACAAATAAAATAAATTTTTGTATACCCTTTAATAATCTCAGTTTCAATTCAATGAACACAGCTGTCATTTGTTTCCTGGGGACTAAATACTGTTTCCAAAGACACATCACCTTGTTCCTCTGGGAGTGCCCTGAAATCTCTCAGGACTCTTCGGGCATTGAGGCCTCTACGAGCTTTATCAAGATTTGAAGGGATAAAGGTAAGGATATTGGGTGGGGGTGTGTGTGCATATTTTGCTATAGCTGCATTTGAAGTTTTTGTGAAAATTACAGCTTGAATCTCTATTTTGGGACTCAACGGCATTAGGATAGGTCAGATTGCCTACTTATATCTTACAGTTGTTATTTTGAAATAATACCAAACACTTTCTCAGAAATTTATAAATACAAATGAAATAAGGAAACTGAATTATAATGTGCTGCTGCAAGGAATTATTATGTAATAGGAACACTGGAACATTTTTCCATGTTTCCAGTTTCAGTGCAATTTGCAGAACAAACTAAACAAGAATTTTTTAAGACTTGTACTTTTCTGAAACCCATTCTTAGGTTTATCTTAGATATGGAAAAATTTCATCCAGTGTATTTGGCAAACTCTTCTGAAAAAAAAAGGATATGCTTGAAAAAAATAGGAACTATTTTTCATTACTTGTCAGTAGAAAAGAAGCTATATATGTAGTTATTACAGAAAACAAACTCTACTGTGAGGAAGAAACCTGTACTGTGAAAGTTATAGTTTATCAGTCTTCATGGCATAAAAAATGTAGTGACCACAATCCTTTCTTAATTTTTTCTCATTGCCTGAGGCAAGAAATTTGGACCTGGAAAAAAGGATTCATTAATTCATTGCTTCAGTGGAAACTATTCACATTTTGTAACTCCTTTTCATAATTCCCCTTCTTTAGATGGCTGTGCTTATATCAACTCATGTTGACTGTTATCTAGACAGGCTCATGTTCCACATTTCAGATTCTCCAGGGTGGATCTGAAAGACAACAATCCTTGCAAATTCAAATAGGGTGGGATTTTCTTAATAGGTGAGGGGATTCTTCTAATTCAATTTTAAAAGCTGTTCTGAGCGAACTGTCTGGAATCTTTAAAGTCAATGGGGAGAGGTAAAAAATTGTATAATGCAAATCATCTGACCTGTGTTAGATCACAGAATGTGATGAGACACTAACTTCAGGCCCCGAGATGGATACGGAGGAAATCCTCCTGGAAGCCATGAAAGACAAGAAGGAATCCGTTAGAAACAGCCAGTGTGAATTTAGGAAGGACAACTTTTCCCTCTCAAACCTGATTGTCTTCTGTGATGAGATGGCTGAGGGAGGGAAGAGCCATCTATGGTCTCGGATATTGGTTATATCTGGTCTGGATAGGTGAACTATAAGCTAGGCAGAAAATTGGCTGAACTGCTGGGTTCATCAGGATGATGGACTGCAGAGATCATCAGGATGAAGTTCAACTGGCAGCTGGTTACTGCTGGCTCAGAGGTCGGTCCTGGCACCAGTACTGCTTAATTACTTAATTAACAACCTAAAGAATGTGGTAGAAATTGTCCTCTGCAAGTTCACAGGTGATACAAATTGGGGGTGAGCAGTTAATACGCTAGGGGCAAGGCTGCGCTGCAATGAGAGCTTGTCAGACTGGAGATATGGCCTGCAGAAACCTCAGGAAGTTCAGTGAAAGCAAATGCAAAGTCTTGCACCTGAGCCAGAATAAGCACACGTGACTGTGGCACACTGAGAAATGAACAGCTTTGCAGAAAAGGACCTGGGGTTGACAGCATGTTAAACATGAGTCAGCAGAGCAACAAAAAAGATACCACATATTGGGCTGTTTTAGCACGAGTCTGGCCAGCAAGTTGAGGCAATTCACTCTTCTGGTTTTGGTACCTGTGAGACTGAATCTGGAGCATGGTGTCTAGTTTGGGGCTCCCCAGTGTAAGAAAGATAATACCATACTGGAGAGTGTCCAGCAAAGTGCCACCAAGGTGGTCAGGGGACTGGCAAGGAGAGGCTGAGAGAATGGAGCTTGTTCTGTCTGGAGAAGAGAAGGTTAAAGGAAGGATTTGATTGGGATCTAATTAGATAAAAGATTTAATTGTTGTCTTTAACTACTTAATGGGAGGTTATGCAAGAAATGGAACTAATGTTTTCTGGTAAGCCTGCAGTGAGAAAATGAGAGAGAATGAGTCGGCTGTGAGGGATATTCCAATTAGCTACCTTGGAAATAAGATGACAGTTTGGGTGTATAGCATTGCAATAGATTGTCCAGAGAGGTTGTTGAATCTCCACCCTTGGAAAAATTCAGAACTTGACTGGACAAGAGTAACTTGGTCTGTGTTGGAACAGCTGATCTTCAGGGGTCCCTTCCAATTTGCTTCATCCTGTGTGTTTCTAGTATACAGATATTATCCAGGGCCATGATCAAAGGCTCAGAATTTTCTCATAATGACAGCAATGAAACATTTCCAGAGCGATTTCCACTATGCCCCATGACAGAGGGGTGAAAAATGGTGAAAAGAAATAGATAATTAGTCATCAAATTCCCACTGGCAACAAGCATGGTCCTACCTGTTCGCATCAGTGTGCTGGATTCACAAATACAAATTCTTAGCGCTGCTTGTGTTGGGTCCCCTGACATCACCAGCACAGACCCCAAAAGCTGGAATCCCATTTTCACTGGTACCATACCTGGAAGAGGCTTACTGCTCATTATGGGTTTGCATTCACCTTGTCCTCATGCAAGCATAAAAGAAGGAAGAGTGCTGACCAAACCAACCCAGTCTTCCAGAAGCCAAACTTCTCTACTTTATGTACTGTGTGCAGTCCGTTGCCAGTGGTTATTGGGTGAGGTTCATTTTGTTATGGAGAGCAAGCTGTTGTTCTCTTACAAAACCCCTCCAAGATAAAAGAGAAGGTTATTTATGATATTGTAGTAAATGCACATCATACAACCCATTCCCCAGTACCTGATTTTTAGATCCCATAGCTACTACAGATTCACAATCTTATTTTATATATTTCTTTTACCCAAGGATAATTTTGGTTGCCATCTGTTTTACTTCCTTCCTCAAAAGGCAAGATAGATACCACATAATGACATGTTAAGACAAGCTTGAAGTTGGGCTGAAGGCTGGCATTAAATTTGTCTTCTACTATTTTTTATATGGGTGAGAATCTGCAATAGATACAGAAGAAGGAAAAATATGTGTTTTTCTGGGAAAGTGTTCTATTGAACGTGAATAATTCATTCTTTTCATTCATTTTATTTATTTAAGGTTGTTGTGAATGCACTCTTGGGAGCTATCCCCTCAATCTTGAACGTTTTGCTCGTCTGTATTGTCTTCTGGCTCCTATTTAACATTGCAGGAGTAAAATTACTTGGAAAAAAATTTTGGAAATGCACACTCAAGAAAGGAAATATCAGTCTAATTGATAACAAAGATGATTGTACTTCCTTTAATGGAACATGGACAAATAATGATGTAAACTTTGATAATGTTGGGATGGGATACTTGGCTCTTCTCCAAGTGGTAAGTTCTATAAAAACATGCTCAGTTTTGTTTTCTTCAAGGGAATGTGTTGAGCAGCCCAACTGTGGGACACCACTATGCTTCTGTTTGTTTCACTGAAATTGGGGATTTTTTTAGCTTCCATAAATATTTTTCTTATCTATAAGCTGCTCCATTCCTCCTGAAGAACACTTCAGCATATGCAACCTTGTGTTAAAATCAAGCACTGTATTTCAGGGCTTTTCAATTTTGTTTTAATGTTGATTAACATGCTAAGCCTGAATTAGCTTGCATATTACAAGTTGGAGAGGTGGGCCTGTGTGACCCTCTTGAGGTTCAACAAGGCCAAGTGCAAGGTCCTGCACC